ATTAAAGCGGCGAGCACAACAAACCGCTGCGAAAATTGACAGACAAAAACCTAATTAGGTTATCTAAATGATAAAAAAAAAGGTCGAAACATCACAAGGTGTAGAGGGGTATTTATTCAAAAGTAATTAATGTGACCCTCACCGCAAAGCATACTTCAGGGTTGGGTTATGTAAAAAATCAGACCAAACTAAAATTTAAGAATTACTTTAGTCATTTTTTTGAAGTCCAATAACTAATCAACATCACACTTGTGATTATAATTTAATCCATATCAGAGTAAACATTTTTGTATGAATGTCCTGTCATCCTATTCCTTCAAACTAATTTGCCATAGATTAGTGAACATTTTAGAACCTATGGCACTTACCATAGTTCACGTTCAAAACAATTTGTGACAGTTGTCAGGCCTGTTGGACGTCAGAAACAATTACCACCACACAACACTACATCATAACGTCGTCCCACGACAGCCACACAACGCCGCATCCAACCGGTACGTGCCTCTGCCGCGACTGGGAGACCTGGAAGAGAACTAGACCTCGAGCGCATTCACTAGCCGAGGGGGGCCGACAAAGCCCGAGCTCACTCGAATAAGTAAACGCGGCTGGAATTCCATGGTCCAACTTCTTCGAACGAGTCTCCCTGTGACATCGAGATTGTTCGTACGATAATTTTGGTTCTTATAATTACACAACTTTGGTACTTACTGTTCTACAGGTTTTTACTTTTATTTTTACGAAAAATACGGTAGGCTTCATATTTGATCAGGACGACCCTGCAATTTGATAAAAATCAAATGAACGTTAACGCCCACGAACAAGTTTTCTTCGCCATTATTTACTCTGCCAAGGCGGTCACACAAATCGAGAATCTCAACAGCGAAGTTAATAGCGCATTTCTTTTGGTATTGCTCCAATCCCACAACGATTCTAAGCAACTAATGTAGTCGCTTGGATACAAAAAATTCGTTATGTACTTTATTAAAGGGTCAAACGGCCAAGTTTTGCACGCAGGATTGTAAGTAGTAATCAACCAAGTTGCCGGACGTTTTCGAAACCACTAGCACACATACATGCTTCTTTCCAAACAGCATGGTAGATTGCAACAAAACGAGACAAATGATCTCTGCGAAGTCATGAAGTAATTTTTCAAAGCAAATTATCTTGGAACTTAATTAGAGCATCTTTTTAGCGACGAGTCTTGCAATGATATAAACAGATCTAAATTATGCTCCAACATGATTGGTCCTTCCCACGATTGTTCGTGTCCGATCCCTTTATTAAGAAAAGGTCAAATTCATTACAGTTAAGTGACAATGTTACAATGCTAAGTTCCAATACTACATGAAATCACACATTTCATTAGATTCAACAAAAACAAAAAACAGAACCACCAAAACTGTGAGCTCGGGAGAAGTGAAATTAAATTTAAATCTCACATTTTACAGGTCTTGGAATTACAACCAAATATTTTATCCAAAAAAAAAAAAAAAAGAAAGAAGTCATAATGAAATGTCCAACATATATTCCATGTAGTCTCAAGCACAAGTTTATTCCTATTGGAACAAATGAAATCCTAAAACAACGAAGAATTCATGCACACTGCCACAAAAAATGTCTGCTCCCCAGACATGCCAACTTCTTTTACAGAATTCCTCTTGGGCACATGGCATGTATGTGTAAGACTTTGCAATCGCAAGTAAATTTTACTGTTAATGAGTAGTAAGTACGAAGACACTTTTAACACATACTGATTGGGTAATTTAAACAATCTTTTTATTAGACCCATACATGATTGGTTGGTTACACATAAATCCCTGAACCAATGCCACTCCCACTTTACAGTCACTATAAAAAGTACAAAGCTTGTGATTTTATATCTTAAAACTGTCCACATATTTCACATTCTAGTCTGGGGAGATATCAAACTTTATTCAATAATTACTTGTCTCTTATATTCACCTACGTTTCAATACATTCATAATGTATTCTGTATTTCACTAAAAAAACGGAATGGCAACTACATCTTCTAAACGTCTTGCCAGAAAATAACTGCACAGCAGAAATGATTTCAAAAGTTTTATACGACATTAGTTTGAATTTGTGCTGGTTGCCCACAGTAGTTGTCACTCCAATTTTTGAGTGAAACAGAATCAGGAAAGACTCTTCAATTCGTAGATAAAATAAATTTCATTTATAAAACAACTTTTCCTATTTGGCAGCTCAATTTTAACATTTTCAAAGGAATTACAGCATTGGAACATAATTGTTTAAAAGAGAGGTCTGGTCTGACCTGAATTTAACTGATGACTACAATTATCATGTCCATGATTATCCTTTTATACAATGATACAGTACAGACATTTGTTATGACATCTTCATCTCTGACAATATATATTTTTATTTAAAAATTATGAGTACAACATTTAACAGATACATTTTCGGAAATTAACAAATGAGGCATCATTATTTGCTGGAATATTAACGTTGTTAGTAATTCTATTTACGAATCGCTGGCTACATGAGAATCAATAAGGCACCAGACAAGTCAGAGATGAAAACGTCGTCCTCTCTTAACAAATTAAGAAATTAAAAAAAAAGAAAAAGTAACAAATATTCAGGAAACCACACAATTAATGTTAAAGAAATTTAATTAAAACCTCAGTAAGGTAAAAAATTATAGAAAGTTTTTACATTATGTCCGAAGTACTTTTTTGTCGTGTCTCCACCCACTTAAAGAAATGCACTACCGGAAGATAGGAATACTGTCGGACTTCTTCTATAGACCTCTGTACCTCCAAATTTATACCTAGAAAAAAGAAAGAAAACAATTACTTCTGGAATTTCAAACCAACAAAACTCTGAAAAACGAAATTTAAGTGCAACAAAAAGGACAATATTAGCAAATTAACCTCGGTGCAAGCCTGCACAGGATAACCTGCAGGATCCGTTAATGTATTTGAATTGCATATTCCAATGCTTGTCAATTTAAAACATTCACACATATCAAATATGTCTAATGTACGTAATCTTGTGAATTCAACAAAAACAACCTTTCAGAACTTACCTTTCAAAAATCTAAAATGATTTCTTTTTTTACATTTAAAAATAGCTTAATTATCAACACTGAATAATAAACATGACCAATAATGCTAATGCCCGAAGGAACATAATTAACAAGATTGGTAGAGGAAACTAAAAAATAATTTAATATTTTTTCATAAAACTTATTGACAAAGACACTACATTTCATAATTCTTTAAGATAAATGTTGAACCAAACAATGACACTAATTTAACTATTACCTCTGCTTTTGAAATTCTATTTTCTTATTTCCTACTAATTTGAAATGTTAAACATTGTGACAAACACTGACCACACCTCTAGAGTTAAGATCACAGTTATTGTTATTAAACACACTATAAATAACATCACCAATGTTACATTCCTAGATCATTTTCCCTTTCAAGGAAGCTGTAGTCATCCCAACACTTAAAGCTTAAGAAAAATATCATTATAGATCTTGATATTAAATTGATATTAAATTTCACTAACATTTATGAAAAGATAAGTGATTAAATTCTTACATTGTCAACTTCAACCTGATAAATTCAATGCAATTTAACTTTCAGAAGAAAAGCACAGATTACTGATAGTTGTCCTTCAAAAACAAAGTTCATTTAACTATGATACTTCTTTCCATCTACATTCAATACAATTTAACATTTAACTACTTCTGAAGAAATTATTTAATTCCAGAATTAGAAGCAAATCACTAGATTGTTCCAAAATTACTTTATCAGCAGATGGCAAACAAGGAGAGAGTATCTGTCGTGTGCTGATTTGGCCGTAAAGGAAGTGTACTCCACAGAACATCCTGAGACCATTATTGTTTCTACTCTACATCAGAGGTCCCCAGCTAAAAAGCTGGGGTCAAAAATGACTGCAGACCAAATTGTTCAAAGGCCAATAAAATTATCTACTAAAATTCAGTATGGTAATTTCCAGATTTCACACATTTTATTAGCACCCGAAACAAAATGCATATATTGTCTCTAATAGATAAAAACATTTGAGATAACATCATTAAGTACACCAATAAAAAAACATTAGATTTGGAGTGTCAATGTCATTTTTATGACAGTATGTACAATAGACCTTATTCTCAATATTTAAAAGTAATGTGACCCTTAGAACAGGGTCGTTGGAGATTAAATTCATTTTTTATTCCGATGAGAAATGGACTTCAAACGCTCGCTTCACAATGAATTAGTGATTCTTACTACTATATTTTACATTTAGTCATCTATGAGAATGTTTTTTCAAATGACTCCAAAACAAAACATAGCACAAACAAATTTCTTCAAATTTTTAAGTTCTCTTTAGCTATTTCTTTCTTAGAAAGTAACTATACATTTCATCTATAGAAAAGTATGTTACTGCAATTAATCCTTGTTGGCTATTACCATATCGATTTCTTCCTTCCACATACTTCTGGGTCTTCCTAGTCTTCTGCGGGTTTCCAATTCCAGAGCTATCGAAGCCACTGTTCTTCACTGATTCTGTTAAAGTGACCATAACATTGAAGCCTTTTACATTCAATATTAGCAATAACCTTGAAACTGCTTTCTTCCATATTTTTCATTTCATACTTTGTCTAAGAATTTCAATCCCCAGCTTCTTTACCAATAGACTATTTCCATTGCTATAAGTTTATTTTAATCTTTCAATATTTCTGAAACTTCAGACCAGTGTCTGGCAACTCTTAATAATAGTCTTATAATCACTGTAATACCCCCCCCCCATTTGCTATTTGAGTACCTAGATAGATAATATTCTGGCAGGATTTCCATTCTGGTCCATTGTGTAATACCCAGTCTTGGCTTCTCCTCCTTCAACCAGATAGTTTTATTAAAATTTATTTCCAGCCCAGTTAAAGTACTTTTCATTAAGTTTTCACAAAACAAAATATCTTACACCTCAGTGAAGATGACTTCGTCATCTGCAAAATTAAGAGAATAGATCATTGAATCATCAATTTTTATTCCCAGATTGCAACAATTTTCTCCTCCTGTTTTTTAAAGCTTCATCCAAATATAATTTAAACAAAGTAGGAGATATGAAATATTCTTGCCGTCAGCCTTTATTTACAGAAAATAGTTAGGAAAGATTTTTCCCAATTTTAATTTGACTTACATTTCTGATGTACAGGTCTTCAACAGCTTTCAGTAAATACATCTAACATCTTATTTCTCCATTGCCATCCAGAGTTCATTTAATGGAACTATCATAAAATTATCTTAAATCTATGAATACTATGCGAGTTTCTAAATTATAGGCAAGCTGATTGTTGGTCACTACAGTGCTGGCAGCATATAAGCAACTGACAGCTCGATGTATTGATGCCACACATTATGCTCATGGCAACATTTACATGACAAACAAATTAAATCTCAAAACAAACCTTCACTGACAGGAAATGACACTTCCTCGAGATTTCAATACCTTTGCAACAGCTGAACTTTATCGCCTCCACGACTTAACGCGAATCACACTAGTGGCAATGTGGAACAGTAAAGCTGGGAAAAGTAAACTAATCCACAAGCTGATTGCTGCAGAGCAGGTCACAAGAAGTACAACAGCACACAGTACGAACTGGGTCACTTATATGCTCCCTATGAGCATCCAGCTCTAAAGTCACTGTTCTACATCTATAAGATACATTTCAAGGAGAAATGTTAGCTTTTTTGCATACAGTGGGCCAAAACTGTAATGCACAGTTATGCCTTTTAACTTCCACATTGTTTTTTGTCACCTTTTTTGCATATGTTAGAAATGTAACCTTTTCTGAAGTCCTCTGGCAGCGTCTCTCCCTTTACACATCTATTGTACAGTTGGCAGAGCATTTTGAGGAGTACACTGACTTTAACAGCTCCATATACACTGCCCCTGGGTCTGGGGACTTTAGATTTTTAAACATTAAATATCATTTACTGATCTCTTCCATGTCTATCTACCATATTAATATTGAAAATGTTGAATTCTTTTTTAGTCTTCTTTCATTAATTCTTCATAATATTCTTTCTATTGTTGTAGATCTCAACACTTTCTCATTTATTCTTAGTTTCCAAGACTTGCTTCGGTATTGCCAATTCATTGGTAAATTTCTTCACATTTCTTTTCCCAAGCAGCATTCTTAGCTTTTATAATTTCCTTTTGGGTTTCTCCACTTGTTTGACTGTACTTTCTGTCATCTTGAGTACTAGCCATTTTCTATAAGCATTTTCTTTCTCTCTTACTTTCTTTTCTAAAGAATATTCCACTGCATAACACTTCATTTTCCCTTTAATGCTTCCTGCTTCAAGGCTCTCATAAGCAGCTTCATGGATGGCTGGATGGCTACTATTCCATCGTAGAGAGATTAGATAGTTGTGTAATTATATTTGCTAGCTTTCCACTGAATAAGTTCACAGACAAAATTTATTGATGGGTCAGAAGATGAAGTTTATATTTCGAGATTTGTATGCAGAGAGGTGAGAGTCTAGAATATAATTTTGTTGGGTTTTAATCACAAACAGAAGATACAATTTGCCCTCAGCAAATAATGATTAAGTTGCATTCGGTGTTTTTATATACTTTGAGGTCTTCCACCTTTGCTTCATGTTGATTGTGACAAAAACAATTGTTATTGTTCTTATTCCTCAAATCCATGAAAGTCTGAATATTCTTGTGTTCAAAGAACCCATTCCAGATTTTTAAGCCATATTGCACTCACTTCTATCAGACTTTTACCATTATCATTCACTTTCCTCACCCTACCTTCCAACCACATCAATTTGGACTCCTTGTACAAATTATTGTGTATGATTTATAATTATTTGTTAATTTATATGTATGTTGTATTCTATCTCCACACACCGAATTGTGGAATTAGTGCATTTATAATCCATCTTTGTGATATAATAAACCAAAAATAATTCATAGTTAAGCAATAACTGTTTTTTCAATAAAGACAAATATCTTCAATGAAATTTACTGGAAGTATTTGTTTGAAAATAAAAATGCTTTATCACAAGTCACCAGTGACTCAATATATACCACTAACCTAAGATTCAAGTGATTTAAATAATTTCAAGGTCCACACAAAGAGACAAAGAAAAACAGCAACAAATTTCCATCTCCCAACTTGAAGATTAATAGAACTGTCAGAACAAACGACAAGAAGAAAATTCTTGTGATCTAATTCAGTTCCTCCCCATAGCAATTATCAAAACTATGTTTCTCAATGACAACTTCATATATATCTTACAGAACATTATGCATTAATAGTCTAGTAGAAAATCAAACTAGCCAATCATTTGAGCCAACTCCTGAACAATCCAACAACGAGTTTTCTTAGCCATACGCCATTTTATTGGATTGTTAGGGACAGTTTCTTCCTCCATATTTGATCTGATACCACCATAAAACAAGGAATTCAAGAAGCACAGGAGAGGACACCTAATCCAGCATCCACAGATTTGTGGGAGCTCCTTCATTTAATATTGTTCTGGACTGCATGCATCAGAATTACTCAGAAAATGAAACTTTTTGGGGATCATGAATGAAAGACTAAATTAATGAGAGGGTTTGACGACAAAACTTGGGTTTCTACAAAAATAACTAACTTTTACAAATAATGGTACACAACATTTGTATGAAGCTAATATTGTACAGCAGAATTTGTCCAAGGAAAATATCACCATCTTAAATTTAATTTTTTTTTCTTTTGATTTTCGAAAAATCGGGAATTTCAACGAAATCTAGACCTGCATAATTCTCTTAAACATCCTTCGCACTACTTAACAAAATTTAATCAAAAAATTCGGAACATTTTTTTTAATTACGAGGCGGCTTTATAGAAAGTGCCCCTCCAAATTAAAATATCGGTTTTAAATTCAAAGGCCTGCGACAGCAGCCAGAACGAATAAGGAACATACATTTTGGAGAAAATCAGCCGAGCAGTTGAACCGCTAGCATTCACAGACTGACAGGCGTTTTGCTGTCAATCGATTACTCGGAATGAAAAACGCCCAAAACTGATTCTGGCTACATGATGTGTTATAGAAATTGCTTTCTATATTTGGCAACTGGATATATCCACTTTGTCATTACCAGGGACAAGCAATTAAAGTTTTTGTGCCTAAATTCACAGTTTTCCGATGCCCAATTAGAATACTTTCTCTTCTTACATTAGTAAATGAGAGCAAGTAAAATTTGCAAATGTTTTATCTCTCCTCTTCTATTGAATATCTTTGAAGGGTTTGCTTTCTCATACGATCTATTCAAAATTAAATCTTCAAATTCTGTGTGCCTTTTCCCCCAAAATATTTAGTTTTTTTTTTTTAAGTTTAGTAAAAATTCCCTAAAGTACTCTTACAATATTCTCAAAGGCAGCTCATTTTTTTCTTAGAACTTATTACATGGAGACAGCACAATGCACTACTTCACAAAGGCTTACATCACTTAGTGCACATGAGAATCTTGGTAGGTATTTTTGGAAAAATTGTTACAATTTAACTCACAAATACCAATATTTGGAAAGAAGGGACACACAATCTAAGTTTGAATTTATCACATCAAGGAGTCTTCTCAATGGGTAACTTAGTTTTGAACATGAACACAGAACGAACGAGAGTTCCTTAAGATGACTACTAACATGTGCGATACAGGCAGAAGTTAGGTTAGGACTATTGAAAGCACTGAACCAAATAAATAGGTATTACAAGAGTACATACTTTCTCACATTATTTGTAACCTTTGAAATTTGTTAAAATTTCAAGTTTAATGGAAATAAGACCTGTGCCACTTTTGTAAGCATACTTCACACTACCCAAGAAAAACTTTTGAGCCTTTTAAAGAATGCTTTTGTTTAAAAAATTAGGCGAAAAATAACCATCTTAAAAAACTTGTGCCTTTCCTTCAAGACAAAATTCAAGTAAATTTTTACAAATCTTCCATCAGTTTTATGAGCACTTTCCTCTAAAGAAAAGAAACAAGAACAATTTTACAATTTCCTCTAAAGAAAAGAAACAAGAACAATTGACAAAATCTTCTGACATTTCAATGATTTCCTTCTCTTTTTCTTACATTATATTTCATTTTTATGAAATCTAAACATTTCATATCCTCCCTCATGCTATTAAAAACTCATGATTTCTTCTAGTAATATCCTAGTACATTATTTCTTCAATCACTCACTGTCACAGCCTCATTTTAATGTTGCATAATTATGTAGATGGGATTTTTCCAAAAAGAATTTCAATATAGATATGATTACAGAATCTTTGGAAAGAAGCCTAGACAGATAGGCATTTCATTAATCAAAAATTATTTTCAAATTCATCTAAAATTCGTTTGATTGTTACATGTAATAGTTATTACATGGAGTAATAATTAAGTTGAACATCACGAAAATAAGGCATTATAAATAATTAATTGGTTTAGGTCCAAAAGGTTTCATCCCGTAGAACACAAATTAAATGTCTCAATTTATTTATGTTAATGTGACTGGACCACTTAAGGTTGGTATCAATAGATATTTAGAAAAGTAAAATCTTAAAATAGGATATCTACAATGAATTATCTTGTACTATGCAACTATTACACGTTTTCAACTCAAAAATAATCAGGTAACTATCTCAATAACTTTCATACAAGATGAAGACAGTTTGATAACATAACTGAGGGCCTCATTCAAATGAAATGTAGAGCAACAACAAATACCAAAATGATACAGCTTATTAAAAATAAAAAACTTGGTTAACAGTATCAAACACCTTATCCCCAACCAAAAATACTGTAAAACAAGGTAAATTATAAGGTAGCATCAGAGATCTGATGCAATACAATAATCAAGGCATCTTCCATGCTGTTCTTTCTTTGAAACCAAAATATAGGGTGTATATTAATTTGGTTATTATATTAATTTATTAAAAGCTCCCCAAAAAATCACTTCTGATATTTTGGAATAATCAGATTTTAACAAGCAGACCTGAACCATTCTCTAAAATGTCTCCATTCTAAAAACAAAATTTAATAAAAATATGGAGATTTTTTTGAGAAAATTTTGAAACCATTGAGGCTTCTTTTATAGTACCACCAAAAACAAAAATATCCATTTGAAACTCCCAATGCCTCTACTTTGTTCAGATTGATCAGGGAATATCAATTTGAGAAAATTAGCTGAATGGTTGAAGCACTACCATTAATCACCCAGACTGACAAACAAATGTATTGCAGCCAAATCAATTTTTTGGAATCTAGTACCCCCAAAACTGATTTGGCTACTTCACATGTTAGTGGAAATTGTTTACTTAATATAGGAACAGGATTTATCCATTTTTTCATTAACATGGAAGGACAACACGATTTTCAGTAGAAAATTCGTTTTCCAACACTTACATTCATTATATTACTTACATTCATAAAGATGAGAAAGTAACAAATGCATGAATGGTTGAATTACATTTTGAATTTGTTTAAATGATTGATATCTTAATTCCTGGAAATTTATGTGTATTGATATTAACAATTCTAAGTATTTCTATCTCATTAGTTGGACTCAAAAAGAGAGACTGTACTAAGTTTAGAAAACATTGCCTTTCCTTTAGTATATATATTTTAGATGCCATGTCAAGAGTCAATTTAGGAAAATTTAAAGCAATTCATTACGGGACTTATTTAGTGATCCCTACGCAACTCTCTTCCCACTAATTTTGTCATTAATGAATTTCCCAAGTGCCTTGATATCACTAGAAATGATAAATATAAATTTATAATCGTTTTCTTTAGCTTTGGCAATTAATAGATTAAGAGATTCTTTCTTTAAAAAAATTTGCTTTAATAAAATATCATTGGGACAATTTTAATTTTTTGTACAACGAATCTTACAATTTTCCCAGATTCAATCAAACCATTAGTAATCTAATTCCACACATGTTTATTATAACTATTTGGCACATCTTTACTTTCATGCAAAAGTACACGAGAACTACTTCTCTTTGAGAAACTGATCATGACCACTCTTAGAAACATTAGATACAGGAGATATAGACATTCAGTAATATTTTTCAGACTTAACAAGACATTCTGCTTTGAATTGAAACCATTTCTATTTTAAATATTTTTACACATGACAGATTTTGATGCATTTCAATTTATTTGAACATCTAAACTAAATATTTCATATGCAAGTTCGCAATATGACACAGGAATATTCAGTCTCACGAAGCCATGAAATATGCTTTTATTAATAAATGCCAAACCTTTCTCTGAATTGTTAAACTTACCCCACCCTTCCTTCATGGAAATTCCAAACTCAGGATCTAGGATGAATGAAGCAGAAGCAATGTCAACCACATGTTTGCTGATGTTTCATGCTTGCCGGTTTCACCAACAGCCAAGTAATGTTGAGAGTAGTTACCCCGAGAGTAAGTATTTATTTTAAGATATTAACTCTTGAGTAGAACATAAGTTTTTCACCATGCTTCTAGAGGGTTATTTTACTCAAGAGTACATACTCTTCAATTTACTCCGTGCATCAGCTGAACATGCAATATTTGAGAGCGATTCAAGAGGCTGTGAGCCAGTGATGCGGGGAACCACTGTGGACAAACGCGAACCTTTGATTAATTCCTTATAGTCTACCAATTATTTCAGTTTCGGAGTTCTTGGCGTTATCTTGTGCGGTGTTATGATTTAAGTTAGCATAGTTTATTTCTTAGTTTGTGAGTATTTCTTAATATATATTAATTCTTCTTCTCTGGAGAGGAGTTACTATTTTGTTAGCAATGTAGAAAAATCGAATTTGCAGCTCATTTACCAGTGGCAGTGCAAATAAATTTTTTAAACTCTTGAACAAAAATATTTCATTTTTCAAATGTTGCGGATCTCATTTGTATAAATTTTATTATTATTATTATTTATTTTTTGCACTTTTATTCCCTTTCCTCTATTTGTAGTTAAAATGTTGGAAAGGGATTCTGGAACTCGAGAAAACGTGTGCAAATGATCTCCCCCATACATCGCATACAGTTTTTACTAAATAAATTTTTTTAGTACTTGTAGTCCCAGTACTTATTGTTTTTCCTTTTGTTACCGTCTACAGTACATACTACCTTGATTTCGCATCCACATCGGTGAAACATTTTTTTCCATCTTCTCTACAGTTTACTATGTATTTGATGAAGTTAACAGCGCATTTGGTCAAACATACCTCATGACAAAATCTTGATTGTCATAATTAAAAGCAATCCATTCTCTCCCACACCCTTTGTCTTTGCACTAGTGATAATATTCTGAATCATTGCTGAAACAGACTTCAAATACCATCGTACGTAATCGTTGAGCCATAACACCACTTCAGAGGTACATGCACGTTGAAAACTGAGCTTACTCCGAACTTTACCTGATGGCTTCTCGCAATGTAAAGTTACTCTCGTATACACGATTTACACTAGAGTAAAGTGTTGGTGAAACGCTCCCAGAAGTTACTCTCAAGTGAACATGATTTACTCCAGAGTAAACTCTTACTCTGTTTGGTGAAACCGGCTCTTAACACATTTTTAACTTATCGTGTTGATGGAAGGTAGGGGGTTGGGACTCCCCCTCTGGAATTATCACTGGCTAACTACTATTAACTTGAGCACTCTTCTCGTCAACTTTGTACTCAAACTATGAATGCACTTTATATTTAGAATGAAAGTAATGTACAAATACCTTTGTAGAGGTAGAACTTTCTTTCAGCTTCTGAATCCATATTAATATTTGAATGGTAAAATTTTGAGCTTGGAAAATGCTAATAGAAAGCAATTTTGAACACCAAAGGATCTTATTTTAGATATTTTTGCGAAAATAAAAACCATTTATTCATATTTTGCTTTATTACACTAAATTCTGTCCCCATTAAAGATTTTTGAAATACCAATTTCATTAACAATAATAAAGTCTTCAATTTCGTAGTTGAAGGAAAACAAAAGATTTTGAACATTCGCAATTTCCAAACAAAAATTAGATCTGTGCCCATTTTAAGCATCCTTTGCTCTACACAAAGAAAAAAAATTATAAAATTAGGAGCTATTTCCAGAAAATCTGGAAGATTAAAGAATCTCCCAAAAACCAGAACAGTTTTAAATTCGTAAAGACCTCAATTGATACTTTCAGGATTTGCTTTCTATCACCTATATTTTAGTTCTAAAGACTTCCTTTAAGTAATTATTTGCGAATTTCACCTTGCATACTAAGCTAAAACTACACAGACTTTTCAAAACACTGCTAAAATTTTGACATAGGGCTGCTTAATCTGAAAAGTAACCAAACCAGTACTCATTTTCAAATACTAACCGAATGTAATTCAGGCAGGAACTCGGCCACTTTCAATGTTTACATTTGAACAGTTCTTTGCAGATCACAGAACACTTTTTCAGTACCGGCATCTCTTTCTAAGGACCACAAAAATCAGTATTGATATATACGGGTCACAGTATTGTAGCATGGTAACCGTTGTTCAAATGTCTGTACCGAATTCTAAACATTCCTGATGCATGCCTGGCCACAGGTTAAACATTTCTAATTTCTTTTAAATGATAGATCTTTAAGGAAATTCCATTTTGATATGCTTAGAAAGTATTTTAAATTAAGTTATTCTGGTATAGTACTATACAATCTAAGAAAAGCAAAAGATTAAAATTGTTTAAACGTTTAAAAACCATTTAGGGTGGGGTATGGGGGGAGGATGAGATGGATAGATATTTACTGTGTATATATTTGGAATTAATTAACTTACTAATGACTTAAATAAGAAAATTAAAATGAAATCCTGAATTGGGCTTGCATTTCATAACGCGACAACATTCAGAAAATTTCCCTGCTTTTAATTACACTATTTCTGAATGATGTCTAAAATCTATTCATTGCAATCAAGAGAAAAAATTAAAATATATTAGTCTATTCGAGGGTTATATATATGCTTGGAAAAGAAGTGGTAAGAAAAAAGTTTCATAGAATTGGAGGACAAATATACTAATATTCAGTAAATTATATTCAATCCAAGTTTATGTTTTCCATTTCAAAATACAAAGGTTACATAGCATAAACATCACAAATTGACCATAATGGCATTTCCTAGAATAATATTATAATAAAAATCTGACAAACCTTGTCCAGTTAATCTTCTTCTTCCCCTGACTCAGATTCTGAAAATAAATAAGGAACTTATAAATATAATGTAAATGGATAAAATGGCACATTAACAGATTCCAAGTCAAGTTTTTCTATCTCCAAACAAAATCTGATTTACTGTGAAAACTTATTCAAACTAAAAACATTTCTTGCAAAGAAACAAAACCAGGTTTTTTATAGAAACAAATATAAATGGATATACTTCACACTATTATACCACTAGAACATGTGTTGGAGTTTAAAAAATTCAATATTGTACCATATACACCAGGGATGATCAACAAGGTCGATATTGACCCCTTGGAGATCGATTAAATTAGAGGGATTGACTGGATTCAATATCCAGCAAAACTTGCGACAAATCAAGATGTTGCCAATGATTACAAACAAAATTGATTTGAAGTTGATATTGTTTTGTGAAGTTACAAACCAAATTAAAATTGGTAACTGTTTTATCTTATTTTTGCAAACAAAAGAAATTATATACTTATATTACAACATTACTTCACTGTCCAATAAAATTTCCTTTAGAAATAATGTCCAATTCTTAAGAAATATCCAAGGAATAATGCATTGTGTAACCATTGCACAACATTGAAGATAGAAAGTAAGCTACCCAAAGAAAGAAGTTTCTGATTATTAATGGAAATAGAGATTACAAACATGCTGTGCATTATAGAGAAATGTCAACGGATCGAAGCCAACTATTCTTTCAAATGGGGCCGACGTAAGGAATGTTGGAAACCCCTGTTATTATACACAAACAAATGAGAGTATCCCATTATTAATAATTATATTAAAATTTAAGATCTTGTTTTTTCACTAGTTTTCTGCTGTCAGAACCGGTGATACCAAACCCTACACATCACAATACGTAAATCTTGAGCTCTTGAGCAATTACAGCTATAAGCTGTCAGGAAGTGTCTAGGACCGTTAAAATACAAAAGCAAGCATACAAATGAATGAAAAATTTAGCAATATTTGAGTTAATGATACCAAATGTTAATTAAGAATATTCTTAGGAAATTAGTTTCAACTGCCATACATAACTATTTGATTTTCCACTTTGTTTTAACACTCAGTGGCATACTACCCCTTAAACCTTAAATTTGTATTCTTGTCACCTTCACAAACAAATGCAAACAAAAATAATGTTAAATTATTAGCTTAACATACCATAAAATAGAGCACATACTAAACAGACATTACACTAACAACTTTCTAAGGGCATTCTTTAATCAGAAATTGGAAACAAGGATTTGGCTAAGTTGGAAATAATTTTCAATTTCAGTTTAAATTCACAAATTCTGGATTGAGTTTTAATAAATTTTCTTCAGAAGAAACAATTATATCAATTCACATGGAACCATAATTCAAAGAAAGATTCTACAAAAACTAAATAGACAAATTGCTTAAACCAACAGTTTTTGCCTTTGTGGTTTTTATAGGAATTTCAAGATTCTTTCCTACATTTTCAGTGTCATTTTACAACTTTATTATTGAATAAAATACATGACACTATCAACCTTTACGCTCTCATCCAATAGAGAGCTAGAACGTCACCACTGACTAGTGTCATCAAACAATGTGTTAATTGAACTACAACGCAACTGATGGAGCTGTGCACATCCAATCCAACGCAACACATTCTATGATGTGAAATTTACCAAACTTCCAACAAATGTTCCAATTTTAGGAGAGATTTAGTTATTTTAGGTTATTCTAATATAAACATGAAACAAAAACAAAGGTCAGCAAAATATCAGCAGGACAACTGTACTCTCCTCAAAGTTAAGTTTAATTTCAAACTGAAATCAACACTGATTTATTCATGTTCACATACTCACGCACGAACGCTCCCCCTCCCCCCACGGATAGCCTTTTTAGGCAAATTTTGTTTTCTTAAAAACTTACATTCAGTGATAAAATCAATATATCTACCAAAGGGAGTGCCAATATCATACAATAATTAATAGAACTACCTTCTTCAGCATTCTGGAGCCATTCAACAAATTTCTTCATTTGATCCAGGAACATCATTTTGCCCTTCATGGAGTGGCCTTCTTTATACCATTTAAGAATAACTTCTTCCGACAGGACATCAGCTGAAATTTTCATCAAGGATTAGATTAATTTATTTTAGATGATTTGGAAGTATAGTTACAGATAATTGTGAATGACATTTGATGGTTAATGTGCCATTCAAATAAATACTTACTCTTGTAGAAAAGCAAGATGATCTTCTGGAAAACCTTCATAAAATTCATATTGCCATAGCAGTATTCTTGAATTCTGAGCATGAGAGCCAACTCAGAGCGAGCAGTAGTAGTGAATGCTTCAAACAGAAGTGTATACTGTTTCAAATGTTTCAGAGCTTGTTCAGCAACTAATTCTTCTTTCTTATTCCATTCAACTTGAGACATCACAGTTGACCAAACCTATAAAAAATAAAAATAAGAAAGAAAGAAAGACAACTTCTTTCAGAAGACCAAATATAGTTTCAAATTTCTAGAAACTCAAAAGAAGTAGAACTTAATAAACTTTTATAACCTTATTTCTGCAAACACTGCAATACTTTGCAGGACATTGAAATTAATGAAAAAGGGAGCTTAATTCTGTACCACGGTATTAATAATTTGCTGAACAATTACCACAATAACATTTGAATGCAGACTACAAAATTATAACACTTCCTCTAAAGGTACGAGAACCCACGGATCAAAAATCACGTTTTCATTTATGAAGGCCATTTTGATTGAAATACCTACCAATGTTATCATTTCATGTTCTTGAATTCCACTTTTGGCTGCAGTTTCCTTAATATCTGCAACAATATCTTTAATTGGCCGGCCTTCTGACAACTGCTCTTCCAGTTGGGATTGCAGATCTCTTTTGGCTTCTTGGCTAGCCTGCAATACAATTACTTTATTTACAAATTTCTAAACAGAATTGTACACACAATGAACTTCACATACCTGAGCTTTATGAAGTTTTACAATATCAGCTAAACCTTTTTCTTCAAAGACAGCACGGAAATATTCTTCTGTCCGTTTGTTCATTGGTACGAACTCCATTAGTCTGAAAATCACACACATTAGCAATTTCACCCTGAATGTGAAACTGAACAACAAAATCACCAAGCATACCTGCTCTCAATTCCACCTTTCTTCAATGCTGTTGTTAGGGGTGTTATGCCTTTTTCTTGTTTCCAAGTAACAAATACTTCCATAAGAAAGTCCAAAGCAAGATTATCTTTTACCAGGTGTTCCTGTTGAAATAGAGAAAATGTATTAGAGATCAGAAACAGAACAAGGAGTTACATTAAAGTCATTGAACAGGTTTATATTAAAATAGGTGAAAACTTCACAGGTGCCTGGTGTGATCCAGTTTTCAAAAACTGGGCGGATTATGCAACTAAAAAATATGAAATCCAATAAAATTTATTGGTACACTTTACTATAAATATTAATTTTTCCCACCAACTGGTGTTACAGTACACCAACTTAACTGTGTAGTTGTGACTGTCTCCCAGGTGACAAAATTGTTTTCACCTAAACAATCTGGGATATTCCCCTGACGCTTCCAACAGACCAATTATTTGATACAGATTCTTGTTGAATCTGTTTTTATTTCAATTCTGATAATCAACATTTTGTCTTCCCTCGCCATAGCTAACACAGGAACAAAAAATGTGAGCTGGAAATTCTGCATGCAGCGATTTATTTTGAAACAAATGTTTTATGACTTCTCATATTCAAGTGCAAGGAAGGAAAATTCCCTGACTTTTCCCAGTCTTAATGAATTTTTTTATTTTCCCCTGATAAGATTTATAATTTCACACTTACGAAGAAAATATTGTAGCTACCCTCACTAATTGGTTAGCTTTCATGTCCATGACAAAACAAATTAACATTTTTCACCAAATAAAAAACTGAACAAACTTGCTGCTGTACTAATGTATCTATTGAATAATACCTAGTGAAGTACCCTCAAAATTTCCCACACTTATAATGATTCTTCTAGAAATTCCTGATTTTCTATGTTTTTCAGAAAGTGGCCACCCTGAAGGACCATGACATTACATTTAGTTGTGCTCTAGTGAACAAAATGTCCCAATAGACCTATTAGAGGTGGTGGTTGGTGGGATTTTTGGAGTTATTTGGAGGACTTCGAATAAAACAGAATCCACATACAAAAAGTTTCATTTACATTTAAGAGAAATTTCTGAAAATTCCCTATCTGCTTCATTCACAAATTCACTCCCAATGAGAGAGGGGAATAAAGCAAAGAAAAGGACTGGACTAGAGCATTCTTATTCCTTAGCTTGATTGTGCATTGTGGAACAAAGTGTTTAATTATGTGATAACGGCCTTAACTTCATGCAGTTATTAATGGAGAGGTTCAAAATAAACTTTTCCACAAAGAATGTATGAGAACGATCATATAATGAAAGTTCCTTTAGTGCATGCATTTAATTCAGAGGAGATAAGTTCTTTTCAAGATATTGTTAAAATTCACCTCTGTGATAACTCCATTGTAAATAAGTTTCTTTATGAAGAACATCTTACAATGTGCATGATATGACCTTTATTACCAATTAAATTCAAATAGATAAAACCAATTGAATTTAGTATTACACATGCAAAGAAATTGTACAGATATGATTGTGAGATTCAGTTAATTGAACATTTGTTTTTCTTCGCTTTACAGAGAATATTAATTATAAATTGCTTCAAAAAGAAATAAAATTATCTTTGTGCACTCTACAAGTGATATTTTTACATCACTGTCAATAACTTTCTCAAGTATGTACAGCATTACTAAAAAATGTCCACATTATCAGCCCCTCCCCCCCTCTAACTTCCTGGGTACATTAGTAAGTTCCTGACAGGACACTAGCTTTCATTGTTAACCTTCTAGTTCTCCCAGGCCTGTTTTCAGGTCCCTTTCCTTAAGACCAATTTGAAGAAATGCCATTCTACACATGCATCAATTTTTGTGGGAGCATAAACTCCCAATTTATCTTTTTCTAAGCTTTTTATTTTTTCAATACTAGGTGCCGACCCCATGAGCAAAATGATGTCATGTCAATTGAGTGGGCAAAATGTTAGAGTTTGCACTGAAAAATATAAATTAGTGTTTCAGAAATAGCAACTATTGTTTGGCGTTTACATTTGGGTTCTCTGCCATATAGCACAAATGGATGCAATATAACTAACATTAGTCAGAGAAACAAACTTGCATTTAGTCTATCATCTTTTATCCATGACACAACCCAAAACAGCAGAAGACAGACTACTCAGCCCTTCTATTATCTGTTGGATTAGGATAAGCATGCCCTACCGATACAAGCTGTGTACATTTCTTCCTTTTCACTGTAATATATTTGTGGTGTTGTTGGTTCGGCACGAGAAGGAATTTTGGAACCTTTCTGAAACATCACTCTTAAACAGCATGTGAATTTATATCTTCTCAAGAATGCAATTTGTAATAATCTAAATTTACACTTCTGTAACTATAGGTTTTATACTTCGAACTAACAATAGTATTGATATATGATCATGGTCATAAAACGTTTGAATTTATAAGCTACTTTTGTTTACACAACTCACTACATGAGAAAAAAAAGGCAGTTTAAAGGGGACGCTAACAATATCACTTGTCTGTAAATGAACCCAAGAGTAGAATTTTGTCAGAACCCTTCTGTTGTTGACTGCTTAGTTCTGCATTTCATAATGACAAGTCTCACACTGGTATTACATTTGGACATAGTGACATTTAAACTCTTATGGGCATTAAACTGATCAGGTGGGCAGCATTCTGATCAACAAAAAGTTTAAAATGTTATTTGTGTCAGATTTTGAAATTTAGGCGCAGTACATTACTGTAGAAATGCAAGATTAAAAAAAATAAAAAAATATAAGTGTCTGCATAATGTGAAAATTAGTATTTTATAAATTAAAATTCTAAATACTTAAATTGAAAGTTTACAAAAATTATTTTCTCTCCAAATGAAAGTACTTCTTAGGTTTAAGAGTAGTTTTATTTTTCTACTGGAAAAATAGATGCATGGACAAGGTTTCAACCTCACTACCTGTAGGATTCTTTTGAAAAAATAATTGGTAATATTTCTGAAAGGAGTGGTATTCACCGTAAAAAAAATTGTGTCACCGATTTTCAACCTCAGACCTCAAAAAGAGTTTGAAGTAACTAAAAAATTATGTTTTATGACCAATTTGAAAATGCGATCCAATTCTTTCACCTGGGGCAATAAGGGATAAAAGTGACAGAAGATTTTAGAAAACCAGTTAGATTTAGTCAGAGCTATAAGTGCATAAAAAAACAAAGCATTTTCAATATACGAGGTAAAATGAGTCAAATGCACATTGCCAGTGAAGGCAGTGAACAATAATTATTTCTTCCAGATTTATTGTACTGTTGAGAAGCCATTAACTTTAGAAGAAGGCCTCAAATTCACATTGCCATCCACACACCTTTTCATTTCCAAATCTCTACATCTGTGTACTGAAGGTCAGAAAAATGCAAAAAACCCTATAGTAAACATTTTGGCATTTTTATGAATTGGGTAGTATTTTTCAAGCTATTGCATTTTAACAAATTTGAAAAAAATAATAAAAATCTTCCTTACATTTAGAAGTACGAGTAGCACTGTCGGAGGTACAGAACCGTTTGAGATCCATAATGCAGTCATTCGAGCCAACTTTATTCTTTCCAATTCTGTAAATCCTTTGATAAATATTAGTACTTTTTTCATTTCATCTTCAAACATTTTTTCTAGATATTTGTATCTGCGCATCAGTTTCATGAACACCTGTCAAATCACAGAAAACCTTCAAAAACTCACAATTTAGTCTTAGATTACATAAATACACAAATTAAATTATGTTTAATAGAAATTCCTAAAAATGTATCCTTAGAATAATTGATGTGGCAGCATCTTGGGCACAGGGCCAAAGTAAAAATTCTCAAAAATTACTGTCCTATACCCAAAATTACCAGCATTAATGAATAGACATTATGAAATAATTCATAACATGGCATAAATTCCTAGATTAATCAAATTAAAAATATAATTGTCACAAATGTTATGATACAGATACAATTCATTACACATGAGATGGAATCTGTACCAGTTCAAATATACAGTATACCTTCTCAGCACTAGCTGAAGTTTTTCCAAAAGGAATTTTAGCCATCAAACAATTGTAATTTCAACTTATGGCTACAATATGCTATTTATTATCATGAGAAGTGGAATGTATTGCTTTACACTTTATACAAAGGTTAACTTCATTGCTCTTAAATTGCCAGAGAATCATTTCACTCCAAATAAGTCACCTGTTCATAGCTGTGCATCGACTCCATGTCTTCTGGGGCTTCAAACACACAAGCATTTGTTTTGTAAGGCTTGTCTCCATCCTGGGCAATAGAACCACCTGGCACTGAAACATACAATCGTTCACTTAAAATTAAGCTTAAGTTTATATTTCATTCTATTTACAAGTTACATTAAATATGCTTCCTACACACATTACTAAATTACAAATCTCAAACAAGTTTGTTCTGATACTGTAAAATAACTGACATACCCAGCAGTCCTCCAGCAATGAGGATATCAAATAGTGCTTCCCCATAACGCCGGTAGTCCAACTTCGACCCAGCAGTATCCAAGAACTTTGACACTGCCTCTAAGTCAGACCCAGCTTTATTAAGTCCTTGCAGAACTGTGTCTCGAAAGCCTGTAGGGTCATATTTCTCTTTTTCATCTATAAAAAAGAATATCCTCATTATGCAATAGGCCAATATTTCTTATATTTTTAGCATTAATTATTTTCCTTAACATAGAAGAGAACATATGTCAATCATTTCGCAATCCTTTTAGAGCTCGTAATCACTACTTTAACAAAGTAGTAGACACCTCACAGAAGTAATTTAAATTTTTTGAAAGATCTTTTGAGATAAGATTCAATTTTAAAAACAATTTTTCATTACCCATTTCAGAAACAATCTAAATCTGCCCATTACTATGATCCAATTAAAACCAACAAAAAGTTGGTGGGTGACAGTTGTGCTTCTGAAGCCGTTGCTTCATAAAACACGAGTTTATGATTTCGTTTCTTTTAGAAGTATTTATTTCAACCGTTTATTTTCATATCCTGAGACAAATGTCAGCCAAATGTGCTCAAAGGCACGCAACCTGTCAACATTGCTCCTTTCCACTCACAACTGTCAATCACCAACTTGTTTTAATTGGACCATAACTTGGATGCCAAGAAGTCTTGGTTCAATTTAATAGAACTCTACAATTTAGTATAGTAAAATGCTTTGATAAGACTTTCGTAAATTTAAAATAAAAATCCCAGCATTTTTCTATTCATGTCCTTAAAAAGCCATCCATATGAGCTTGATTTAAAAATTACAGTTAATAACCTACTCCAACAGAACAAATTTGAAAAACTTCCACAGCTGAAGTCCATGTTAACATTTCACCATCATGCAGTGTCCTAGGCAATGACTACATCCTGTTTGAGGCTAAAGAATGCCAGCCGAAATGCTGGTGCCACTGCCTAGGCTGCAACATCTCCAAGACCATGAATTTATGCATGTTCTCCAGCCTGTCTAACCCATCAAGCCATACAACACCAATTTTAATGCTGATGGTTTTTACAACTCAATATTTAACTGCCAGAAAACAATGAAATTATCTTAAAGAAAATTAACTTGACCACAATAAAGAAACTTGCATCTAATTGCAATTAAATTTCAAATTCTCAATAGAGAACCTTGCACAGTTCACAATTTTTCAATAAAAAATTACATTTAATTACTCATGTCTTGTAAACATGAGTGACAATGGGATCACAAAACGCTACAATTTTCAAATTATTTGCATTTTGCAACAGATAACAGGTCTTTCCAACCTAGACCAACTTTCTCACTCATTTGAAGGCTCAATGTTACAAAGCTTTCTGGATCAATCATTGCAGATACAAAATGTAAGTAAACAAAAAGAGTACAAATAACATGTTTAGAAATCATTCACTCATTTAATGCTTTATTACATATAAACATTTTTCGTTAATTGTTGCATGCAGGCGCAGATACATGGGGAGGGAAAAGAGGGAAATTTCCCCCCTACAATTTTTCAGTAACTTAATTTTTACTTGTCACAAGACTTCAGAAAAATATTTTCAGATTATCATTAAAACAAAAAATTTATCACAGCATGAGCCGAGTGAATCCTCCAACACTTTATAAAATCTATAATACGCTATTCTACAAAAACATTTTGAATTTCCCTCCCAAAGTTCTTTGCTGGATCCGCCCATGTTACATGTGAAAACTTTATCCTAGGATAAAATTATTTTGTGAATCTGAATAGAAAAATTCCACCAAAAATAATTAAATTTTCATAATATCCCATTAATTCAATTCAATTACTTAGTTAAACTACAATCATTATTCTTTATCACACATGTGAGCACATGGTCCAATTCGTTAAGCTATGTTCACAATGTACTTCCACTTTTAGATTTTCTTACAATTTAGAATTCTGGAAGTTTGCTGAAAAATAACGGAACAATTATAAAACTTACAAACAATTATAATAATTTATATTTACCTCTCTTTCTGGTCTTTATGCGCTGACCTGACAGTACTGGCTTTTCTGCTTTTTGACTCATACAATAACTGGCTGTAGAAAAATAGACACATGGTAAAAAAGGTTCAGAAAATTTATGAATTAAATAAGTTCTAGCATTCCCGCCCAACACTAAGGTCATACCAAATACGGGTCAATGGCCATTTATATGCAAAAGTAGACTTATAAAATAATATACTTTAAATATTCCATTTTACACTCAAAATAACTAACATTAATATGAACGCGTAAGAAATGTAAAGTAAATGCCAAAACATCCTTGCTAAGCTCCTCAACGGACTCAGTATGCCGACTGAAAGGAAGCAGCCTTTAGGGAAAATGTAATTTTCCTTTGTTGCTTCAAACATACTGTTTATAATTCACAAAATTGCTTGTGCTTACTACAACTAAGTATCACAGACAACTCTTACGCATGAAAATACAAGAAAAATCTTCTGGTTAATAAAATACTTACAAAAATTCCTGGCTTAACCTGCAGCACAACACCCCTCGTGAGGTCTATAGCGATTAGAGAGTATTGAGCAACGTGTGACGATAAATCCGGAAACTTCCGACATAAGTCAGTTGAACGTTAATGAACACACATTATATATTTCGAAAGAAAAGTAACAATTATTTTAAAAAACAAATAATTACTGGTGTATAGAATGAAAAATATAGAAAACTATTCGTACTAATGAAGCGTGATAAGGTTCATTAGTCTGTCTTTGTAGTAACGTAGTAGTATGGTGTAACTCAGGTGCAGGAACTTACAAATCAAAGGCGGTATCATTAAGACGGTCCGCTAGTTCTGATCCACAATTCTTAATGATCAAAGAAAGAAACCAGACAATTTAGTATTTTAATTTCTGAAGTAAATTATTTATAGAAACAGTAAACTGATTTGTTTAAATATTCGCGATCTGTGTAAATGATAAAGTCAGCACTAGCAGTTTTCAGTTCAAATGCGTGCATGTTTAGGTGGAATCAATTTCCATGAAAAACTAGTGGAGATCAACAGCACACACTTTATCGCACTATTGGTATCTTCGACATTATCGAAAATTTTAAGAGTTCAAACGAAATGACACCAGCTCCATTTTTTCTGAGCATACTTTGCTCTACTCGAGAAAAAAAAGGATTAAAGGAAAAATTAGGATCTGTTTTTGAGAAAGTATTTTTAACAATCTTTATTTCAAACAAAAATTATGAGAAAACCACTCATAAATCGAAACATTGTACGTGAACTTATTTAAATGTCTCTACTTCAAGAACATTTCAATCAGGAACAAAAATCTCTATTTTGAATATTTTTCATCTTTTATTCTTCAATTGCAGTTGAAGAAAGACGCCGGATTCTTTTTTTAAACTTATGCAGTTTTTGAAAATTCAAAGAGTTAAACGAAAATGAGCTTTCATCATTCTCATAAGCGTATTGTTTACGGGACTAATGATTTTTTAAAGATTTTTACATTAAACACTAAAAAATTTGGAGCTATTTATTGAGAAAGTTTTGAAAATTTTATTTATTTTAATTTAATTTATTAAGGCTTCATGTAAAGTACCTACCCTCAAACCTAAAATATCCATTTCAAATTCCTAGGACCTCCAGTTTGGCCAGATCAATCGAGGAATGACAATGGTTATGAACGGTTTAGACGCTAATGGTGACCACAAACGAATTGGCAACGACGTTTTGCCGCAAACTAATTTTTCGGTATCAAAGACTCACAGTACAAGGATTCTGTATACAACGTATTAGATGAAGAAATATAGGAGCATGATATATAAACTTTTTCGTATTCAAGGACCCACGATACGATTTTTTCTGTCGGAAAACTTGTCACCACTTTCAGTTGTAGCATTACAATTCTTCTTTTTTTCTTATTTTGAAATTCTACGACGTATTTCGTGATAACATTCTCTAACCATTCGTATTGGTATTGAAAGTGGACAGTAAACATATACAGAGTGCGCCAGAGAAACTTACTTATTTGAAAGGTCAATAAAAATAAAAGTACTTCAGTTATTGTTTTAAATTTTTTTTATTTGAGAATACAAT